GAGAGAAAATTGTTCAATTTGCTATTTTGTGATAAAAATATTTACTCTCGCTTTTTAAAGCGAGAGTAAAATATCAGAAAAGTCATCGAGCAATGTCAAAAAAGCAGAATAGTCAAAAGTGTTGGTTAGTAGTACCTTTGGTTCCTCTCTTTTACCCTTCATCCTTATGTGTCTTTGTTTTCTCAATCGATTCCATTGCTTCTTCGAATGATTTCTGAAAATATCCCAAAGTGTTGTCATTTTCTCCGTGTGGTAGAAATACCGATGACAGAAAAACACTTGTTGATATACCAAATCAAGAAGAGGCAAGAGCATTTAGCATTTAAACATGTAAAACAAACAGAGCCCTCAATTTTCTCTATGGATTCTAGATTCTTGCTAACAAGATACATTTTCCTCTATTCTCATTACATTTTCCTCTATTCTCATGATGTGAAACATTAATCATTCACATTTGCATCTAGGATTTCTTGCAAACCCTACCTACCTTTTGGACGAAATGTTCTCATAAATGGTTCAATAGGTTGCTAATTATTCTCAGTAAGTGACAATACATCACTAATAAGCCTAGTTCAGAAACTACCTCGGCGATTAGTTGCTACAATTCTTGACGGTTTCAGCCTAATTAACACCTATGGCCACAAGACTAGATGTGCAGAGATCATCAACCACATTTAATTCACAAGAACATCAATCTGATGCATTTGGGAATTCATACATTATAAAGAGAGAGCGAGATCACCAAGACAGTCAATAGCATAAGGCTAATTAGATCACCGATGCATGCATAATATTGTACTTACCCCTGAGTTACGCATTTTCCATAGTGTTTCTCCACTTGTATCAATCGCAGTAAACGCAAAGTACATACCACTGCAAAGCAAAAGATAAGAAACTACAAGATGATGAAGAAAGCAACCCTAACTATAGCTTAGAATCAGAAGAATCGTCTAGCAAAAACACCATAAACATTTCCCACATAAACAGAAATCTCAAAAGGGAATTCACTAATTGTCGCATACCCAGCTAATGCGAGATTCAGAAGAAACGCACGAGTCGTCAAGTAACGAAACGTCGAATCAAACCCACTGCTAAAACCAGAAGCTTGACGATTCCTCGAATAACCATAACCATACCCATACGCTCCGGCTCCGCCACTACTGCGATTTCCGTACGGATTACTATACGAACCACCGGTACGGCGAAATAAACCGGAATCACTAACTGCGTTATAAGACGCGCGTTTCCGATCATCGTTCAAAACCTCGTACGCTTCCGACACGAGCTTAAACCGCACGGTTGCGTTTCGCCGAACGTGTTCCGGTGACTGTGCGTGTTTGTCCGGATGGTACTTCACCGCCAATTTACGAAACGCATCTTTGACCTCTTGCTTCGTCGCGCTTCTCTTCACGCCTAGAACTTGGTAATGATCCACCATGAAGACGAATCCAAGAATATTCGATTACGAATTTATTTTCAAAACCGATCAAACCAAAATCGGAATCGCAAACACCTGAAATTGATCTTGAGCGATTGGTTGTGTAGATTGGTAAGCATATATACATAGAAAGATTTGTGTATATGAATCTGCGCTCGGGTGTGTAGCATCGAAAAGGTAAATTGGAATTGGTAGAGAATCGCTCTAATTCGTGGCGCTTCAATGGCCGCTTCTTTCAGACAGAACAGCCCCAATTATTTTTCTTTTAATAAATACTGTTAAAAAAATGGGTATGAAGATAGTCGAGGTGGGCCAAGGCCCAGTGGCCCAATCAAATTATGCAATTCAGCAAAAGATTGTAGAAAGTAAAAAACATTATTGATTTCATAATGAACAAGGTGTATCTCTCCAGCGCAATTTCCGTCGATGCGAGAGGAAGAACAAAGGAGTACAGAGCAATTTTCATTTTAAAGCTTCTTCTCATCTCTCAAAAATGCCGAGCAACTGCGAAATTGGCTTCATCGCAATCCTTTTTCGACCTGTTGGAGTTCGCCTTAGATATCGTTGCTGCACTGTAAGTCCCAAATCGCATCAAAAACACCACTTAAATCAAATCACATTGTTATTCGAAGATTATTTTGGGGACTAATAACATATATAAAAAAAAAAAAGAAGTAACTTGAGGTAGTGACAATTACATTTTGCGGTAAATAATGTGGATTCGTTTTATCATATATACTTGTCGGCTGGATTTGCTAAAGTTAATAATGATTACATCTCTTCAAAACGACTAACTTTGTCCCTTTCGGTCTTTGTACACATTAACCTCGTAATACAAATATCAGCGATCAAAGTCAATGTGCACATGGACCGAATGGGACGAGCTTGTCATTTAGAAGAGATTGGATCATTATTCACTTTAGAAAATACAGCCGACAAGCCTATGACAAATGTCATCCAAACATTAACATGAAGGCAACTGCTCCAATCGACCTTTTTTTCCTCATTTTACGCCTACGAAGCTATATATAGGTTTAAACCCTTCCATGTACCCTGTAAAGCCATAATCCACAGAAGAAAAACCCAAATTAGAACGATAAGCATTTTAGATGTTCGATGAAATGATTCAGTGAACAGTTTCTTTCCGATTATATTGGTAAGCATTTGAATTTAAACCCCATAAATCGAATTTTGTTATCTGAATTCGCTTTAACGTAAAAAAAAAAAACCATGATTCCAACCTCAACGAAGGTATACCATCATTCCATTAAAGACACGAAAGGAGTGAAAATAAAAAAGCATACTTGGTGGTGTAGCCAAAGGCCAAAGTTGAAGCCGTGACGATAGACAAGAGAGATTAGAAGAAGATATTTTTCAGTGTCTCTCGTTAAAGGGTTCCTAGATAAGCTTTTATCTTCTCTAATATAAGGGTACTTCTGCCTTTTACATTACATACTTCTAATGAGTTACTTAGTCAATCTTTCAAATCTTCCAATTTAGTTTAGCTTCCAATTTTGATGGTCAAGATCAAGTAAAAAATTAATAGTGAAGATCTTTGACTATGATGAATTGACTCACGATCACCATCAC